GAAATTTTCAGAGAAATCTCTGGATGGGGGTTTCCGCAGAGATACAAGAGGCCCAAAGAATAACAAACGAAACAGACTCAAACTGAAAAACAATAAGACAAATAGCAATCAAAGTGGTAAAAACCAACAAGAGAAAGAGACTACTTAAAGCATCAAGAGTGAATAAAAACCGCATATACAAGGGATGTATCATAAGAATCACAATATATCTCCCATATAACACAAGAGTGATATTTTCAAAAGCTTTCAGCCTAGACTTCACTTGTCATTTAAGGGGCTAGAGCGATAGTACAGTGGGTAGCGCCTTTCATGTGGCCAACCCGAGTTCAATCTCTGGCATCCCATATGGTCCCCCAAGCACCTCAAATAATAATTCCTGAGTGTAGAACAAAGAGTAACCCCTGAGCATTGCCAGGTGTGACACTCCCCAACCTAAAAAATAAGTCAAAGCTGTCATTTAGATTTGAGAGAGAGATAATAACTTCAGACAGACAAGAGCTAGCAACCCTTGCCACAACTAAACTAATTCTGCAAGAATTACTGAAAAGCCACAATAAAAAGCAACAAGTCAACAGCAAAAATAACTCTACCACCACCACAGACACGTACATATAAAATGGAAACATGGCACTTCATATTAATAATTTCTACTAATGTTAACAGACTAAATACTCCTATTAAACGCTATATAGTGCCTGGATGGAGCAGAAGACAAAATTTATCTAAAACACCAAAATTCAAAGGATAAACACAGGGACAAAGTGAAAGGACAAAAAACAAGTATGGCTGGGTTATGGTACCGCCAGCAGGTCAATCTGTACCTATGAGGCAAGTGCATCAGCAGCCTGATGGCACCTTCAGACTTCTAGATACCCCCAAATTGCTGCTATGCCTTTGGCCAGACCCCAACAACTGGGCCAAGTTTACCAAGAAAGTAAATGGCCAAAAGTTAGGTTTGTGAGAAACACACCCACAAACCACCTCCAGCTCAGCTATAAAATTGGAGGCAAGGCCTCTCTGGTTCCTGATCAAACTGCTTAACGACCAGGATCCCAGAGACTCAGAAACAAATCTTGGAACCCAGCGGTTTTCAGCAGAAATGCATCCAGTCCCCAAAGTAGGTTACTGGCGCCAGGCCACCCCAGGGGGGAAAGGGTGACATGCGGGGCCTCACAGGATGGGGGTGGAGCCGGTCCTTTCCTCCCAGCTCCAATGAGACCCCGAGTCCCTGCCACAAACGGCCTCTCTGGCTCCTAATCAAGCAGCTTAACAGCCATGATCCCAGAGACTCAGAAACAAATCTCAGAGCCCAGCAGCTTTTGGCAGAAATGTGTCCAGTCCCCGCAGTAGGTTACAGGCGCCGGGCCACCCCACGGGGGAAAGGGTACTGTCCCTCCACCTGCTCCCCCTTGGCGGCTCGGTGGCTCCCATCCTCCAGAGGCCATTGGACAGTCGGTTTGGGCCCACAGTGACGAGACACGTGGGGCCTCATGGGTTAGGGGTGGAACCAGCCCTTTCCCCTGTGCCCCAAGGAGAACCCAGGTCACCGCCCACAAATGGCCTCTCTGGCTCCTGATCAAGCTGCATAACGGCCATAATCCCAGAGACTCAGGAACAAATCTCGCAACTCAGCAGGTTTTGGTAGAAATCCCTCCAGATTTAATTCTTAAAATTTTGGAATTCCAAAATCACACGGCCACTACTGCGGCCGCACAACATCATATGTTATTCATAACCAGCAATAGGAAACAAATTGTCAAAGGTTGCCTTTTCAGCAGATCTGAGTGTTGGGTAAAATCCCAAATAATAATGGTGGGTCTGGTGTCAAAATATAGAATGTAATCAAAGTACAGAGAGAGTAATGTGGAAATCATCTGTCCCACAGGTAGGGGCAGGGTGTGGGATGGGATGGGGAGTATACTGAGGTTTTTGGTGGTGGAAAATGGGCACTGGTGAAGGGACGGGTGTTTCATCATTGTATGACCGAGACTTAAAGAAAAAAAAAGAAAGAAAACAAGCATGGAAGCCAATTGTAGACAAAAACAAAAGACAGACAGAGAGAGATGGAAGAAGGGAGGTAGGGAGAGGAGAGAGAGAAAAAGAGAAAGAAAAGGAAAGAAAAAGAAAAGAAAAAAAAAGAAAAGAGATGAGACAGCCATACTTAAGCACTGTAGCATTGTCCTCCCATTATTCATCGATTTGCTCAAGCGGGTCCAGTAACGTCTCCATTGTTAGACTCGTTGTTAACTGTGTTTACGTCACGGGTAGCTTGCCAGGCTTTTGCCGTGCAGGCGAGACATACTTAAACCAAACTAAAAAGCATTCAATCTATAGGAAGTAATTAGAGACAGGGATGGACACTACTTAAGGGAACCACAGACCAAGAAGTACTAAGTCGTACCAAGACACATGCACCAAATAAAGGTGCAGCAACATTTATAAAGCTTCTACTCAAAAATCTAAAGGAAAACACTGATGGAAACACAATTAAGCCTTCAACATTCTGTTTTCACCATTAGACAGATCAACCAGACAGAATATCAGTAAAGATACAAAAGCCCTAAATGAGGAGTTAGACGAACTTAATTAATGGACATATGCAGTAGGCTCAATGCCCAAAAACCTGAATACACATTCTTCTCTAGTGCACATGGAACACTCTCCATGATATACTAGGACATAACTCAAACATACATAAATTTATGAATATAGAAATCATACCAAGCAATTCTTTCAGACTGCAATGCTCAGAAAATAGAAATTAATGACAAAAAAAAGATGGAGGAAAACTCCAATACCTAAAAGCTGGACTAAACATTGCTAAATAACTGGATCAAAGAGGAAATCAAGGAAGAAATAAAAGAATTCCTTGAAGGTAATGTGAATAAAAAAAAAAAACTATCAGAATGAGATTCAAAAAAAAAGCTGTACTAAGGGGAAAATTTAAAGCAGTACAGGGAAAATTTAAAGCAGTACAGGCCTATCTTAAAGCTCAAATCAACAACCTAAACATATACCTCAAAAATCTAAAAAAAGAACAACAAATCAATCCAAAAAGTACTAAAAGGAAGGAAAATGGGGCCAGAGTCATAGTACAGCAGGTAGTGCACTTGTCTTGCACCACACAGCCGAGCTGGATTTTACCCCCAGCACCACACACAGTCCCGCAAGTACCTCCAGGAGTGACCCCTGAGTGCAGAGTCAGGAGGAAGTCCTGAGTACCACCAGGTGTGGCCCCCAAACAAAATAAAAATAGAAGGAAAAAAAACTGAAGTATGCTCTAAAGAGTCAATAAAACCACACACTAGTTCTTCAAAAGAATAAACAAGAGACAACAGACAAACCTTTAGCTAGGCTCATGAGGAAAAAAAAAGAAAATACCCAAATAAATTAGATCAGAGAAAAGACAGTAATTACAACAGCACTGTACAGCACTGTCCTCCCGTTGTTCATCGATTTGCTCGAGCGAGCCCAGTAATGTCTCCATTGTGAGACTTGTTGTTACTGTGTTTGACATATCCAATACGTCACGGGGAGCTTGCCAAGCTTTGCCGTGTGGGCAAGATACTCTCGGTAGCTTGCTGGGCTCTCTGAGAGGGGCAGAGGAATCGAACCCGGGTCGCCCGGGTGCAAGGCAAACACCCTACCCGTTGTGCTATCGCTCCAGCCCAGACCCCTCAGAAATACAAGATATGAGGTTACTATGAGCAACCTGCTGTTAAACTGGAGAACACAGATGAATAAATTTTTAGAATCGTGTAATCTTCCAAAACAAAGAGAAAATAGAAAAACTAAACATGCGTATCACAAGCAAAAAAAAAAAAACTAAACAGTAATTAACAATTTCACAATTTCCCGCAAAAACCAAAAACAAAAATCCCTGTCCAAATAGACTCACTGGTGAGTTCTCGACCAAACCTATAGAAAAGAAGTGTTGCAATTTATTCTTTGACCTCTTCAAAAATATTAAATAAACAGAAATTCTTCCTAACAGCTTCTCTGATGCTAACATTATACTAATAGACAAAGCAGATAAAGACACTACTAGAAAAGAAAATTTCAGTCTAATTCCTCTGATGAAACACTGACACAAATATCTGCAACAAAATCCAAACAAACTGAATCCAACACCTTATCAAAAAGAAATTCTGCACCACAATCAAGTGGCGTTCATCCCAGGGATGCTGGGATAGTGCACGATAAACTGGAAACAAATTTTAATAATAAGGAACAATTAACCATGTCTGAACTTCTCTAACTTACAAAGTATTAAAACGAAACTTAAGGGTCAGAGAAATAATCAAGAGGTAAAGCACTTGCTTTGCAGGTGGCCAATCTGGTCCTCCCCTGGCACTTCAAGAAATCTTGCCCCAGTCTGGGACATGCCTCTTGCTGTTTGTAACAATGCCTTTTGAAGAACAATTTTAATTTTGATTAAATCCAATTTGTCATTCTTTTCATCTAAAACTAATGCTTTTTGTTCCCTATCTAAGAAACGTTATGTGCCCCAGACCTTTAAAGGTATTTCTTCTGGTTGTTTTTATTCCGGCTATTATTTTTTTGGTTGTCATTCTACTCCTAGTTTACTTTTCTAAATGGTGTGAGGAGAATATTAAGATTCATTTTTTTCTATAGTACCAAGGTACAATTTTAATCAAATTAATTTTAAAATTAAAATCCATTTTGATTTAATTACAGGTTTTGCAAAGATGCCTATGTATAAAATAAATCTCACAAGAAATAACTTGGCCATATAATAAAGCTTAAAATATAACACTGTTAGCAAAAACTCATTAACGCTCACTAATGTCAATCATTTAGTGGTATTATAAACTACAGAATAACACCAAAAACCCTTGAGGCTCACATTGATTTTACTGAATCCATATCTGAAATGCAGGACAAAGAGCACTGAAACCATCAGTACTTAGACACAAATGTAAGTTTATATTAATCTGAAAATCCAGACTCAAATAACACATGAAGCTAGACAAGCTCACCTGAGTAGCTGTAGACTGACAGGAAGATGACGGTGACGACGAGACAACAGGAATGTCAGACTGTACAGCAGCCACAGTGGTAGCGGGTGTGAAAATCAGCTGTACAGACAGAAAAACCAAAAATATACCCTAAGACAAAGGAACATGTCTCACACACAATGTATAGCAGGCAGGAAAGACTGAAGTTCGTGACAGAAAGACGATGCAGTCTGCTTCCTAAGCAGGTTTTACATAACAAAGAGAAATTTCTGATAATAACTCAAAAAAATCATAAACACTGTTTGAAACAGTCCATGGTTCTGAGGACTAGAAAAATAAATCAGTGCTCAAAAGAAGAAAATGCATTTTGGTGATACGAAATCCTCATACCAAATTTTGCTGTAAATAAGCTATTAGACTTCAACTTTCCCAAGTTCAAAACACTGTGGCAGGATTCCTAAATGTAAGTTAAATGGAAACAGTTACCAATACGTATACCACGGTGACAAATCTTGATGCAAATTAAGTGTCAGTGAGAAATATGAAAAGAAACACAAAAAGTCTTTACAGTCCTTCACCACAAAAGGTAACTAGACTATATACCATACCATATTTCACTCAAACACATAAATATATGAATCTACAGTACAAACCTAGGTTACCCTTGAGTGTGAAGCTATTTGTAAAGAGACCGTCCTTCTAAATGAAAATGCCATTCACAGTTCAACAGGTCACAGTTCAACACCAAGACAGCCTACAAAAAACAATCTTCACATCTACCCCCCCAAAAATTGACAGACTTTATTTACTTATTAACACCATCTCTTTTCAAATGTGTTTTCAACAGTGAAACAGAAGTTCGTTAAGCAATACGGACAGAAATTATCTAATAGTATTAATATATACTCCAGACAGAGATTATCTAATCCAACTTAACTATGGCAATTGTTTTCAAGAATATATATTCTACTACTAGATCATAACAAGAGTTATTTTTCAAAAATCATTTGGTTATGGTAAAATGATCCATTAAGGGATCTTTTAAACATCAGCTCTTAAGTATACTGAATTTAAGTGGATGAAACAACAAGGTATAACTTTCACAAGAAAGTAATTTTCAATCCAAGTAACAAAAGCATGAAATGTGAAGTGATGTTCCATTTTATGTGAGCAATATGAAACTATCAGTTCAGGTCAAATGGTGAAATAACAAACATTTCAAATGGTCCAGCCTAATGTGGAAGCATGTTACTAAAATTTAAGGGGGCAGGGGAGGGGGGAAGAGTACACCAAGCAGGGCTTTGCCTTGCATGTGGCTGACCTGGGTTTGATCCCCGGTGTCCCAGATGGTCCCCTGAGCATGCCAGGAGTGATCCCTGAGTGTCACCGGATGTGGCCCCAGAACAAAAACAAACCAAAACCCGATCTTATAGGGAAGAAGGAAGATCCAAAAATATTATAATCTTTACGAAGTTTTTTTTTTTTAAAAAATGAACAGTGGGTTATATGAATTCTTTTTCCTTAGAAATACGATGACAAACTTTAGAGATTTCAGTGGATAAATGGAGAACCAGGAATATATTTTGTTGTCAAATGAAAAAGAATATATAAATATGTATATACACAGATGTATATACATAAACACACATTCCAGCATGAAGAACAAAAATGGTCTTATCTACTTTCCGATACAAATATTAAAGTTCACAAATTAAGAAATCAGAAGGTATTCAAATCAGAATAGCCAAATTAACATTGCAAATTAACAAAGGACCAAAGGAAGTGTAAGAACTCAAATTACCAAGCTCAAAGTGAGATGAAGAAAACCAAACCTAGGCTCATCTGTGTAATTACCAGGAGCTACAATCCAGATTTCAAAAGATATCTCAATATAAATTCTAAACTCCAAAGTTAACAACCTAGCTTTTAATTTCTTACTATGTCATTAACTCTAAGATGTCAAAGATAAACAATGTTGTTCTATGTGGGACCCTCTGGGTTAAATAAATTATTACTATCTTAATATGAAAAAGATTTCCATTTAAAAAGTCATGGTTCGGTTTAATTCTTAGCTATCTGTACAATGTTCAACACATTATAATCATTATACCAATTATAGCTGTTAAACACCCACAATTATAAATACATTTCAATTTTACAAGTGCAAAACATGAAATTTTAAACCAATTAAATTTTGTATTTAAAAAAGAATCCTGGGGCTGGAAAGATAGCACAGCGGGTAGGGCGTTTGCCTTGCACGCGGCCGACCCGGGTTCGATTCCCAGCATCCCATATGGTCCCCTGAGCATCGCCAGGAGTAACTCCTGAGTGCAGAGCCAGGAGGAACCCCTGTGCATCGCCGGGTGTGACCCAAAAAAGCAAAAATAAATAAATAAATAAATAAATAAATAAAAGGAATCCTTTGGGCCAGAGCAATAGCACAGCCGGGTAGGGCGTTTGCCTTGCACGCAGCCGACCCGGGTTCGATCCCTGGCATCCCATATGGTCCCCCAAGCACCGCCAGGAAGTGATTCCTGGGTGCAGAGTCAGGAGTAACCTCTGAGCATCACTGGGTGATGACCCAAAGAGCAAAAAAAAAAAAAAGAATCCCTTCTGTGTTACAGAGTATTGGGTCCCCAATGTTGCTAATTACTATTTAATAATCCAAGAAGGACTGTCAATTAAAAGTAAATTTTTCATGGCAATGTCTAAAGATTTAACAAACATACATGTAAAAAATAAAAAGCATTTCTTATATATATTTTTAAATGCCTTTTAATGCACTAAAGAAACATTTCATCTCTTTGTTAACTCAAGCAGGGACAAACTTAGTAGCTTCTATCTTACCATTTGAGCTCGGAGATACATCTGAGCTTGGCTTGCCGTCAGGGTTGGGGAGGTACTCCCTAGTAACATGGTCTGTTGGGTAATACTGCCGCTGGTAGAACTGGAAGTCTGGGAACGGCTTATTAGCTGTGCAGGTGTAGGAGAAGTGGAGAGGTTGATCTAAGGAAGAAAACAAATTATGTCACAGATTTCCAATTCTTGTCAATAAATCGCACCACTCTGCAATCAGAAAAGCAATGATGGCATAAACAGCTGCTAAAGGACCTAAAAAGAAAAGACTCCATTTGGGGCAGACCCTTCTGCACGTACGTAAACAAGACAATTCCTGCTCAGGAGGACAATTTCTTTTTTTTTTTTTCCCTTTATTTTATTTTATTTTTTTTACAGTTGTAAATTTATAATTTTTTGTGCTTTGGTTTCAATTATACAATGATCAGATACCCATCCCTCCACCAGTGCCCATTTTCCACCACCATGGATAATATCCCTCCCACCCCCATCCCCCCATCCCCCCTGTCTCTGTGGCAGGGCAATCCCCTGTGTTCTCTCTCTCCTTTTGGGTGTTATGGTCTGCAAAAGAGGCATTGAGTGGCAAACATGTTCAGTCCATAGTCTACTTTCGCAGGAGGACAATTTCTAAGGATAACAACAACATGATCCAATAATATCCCAGTATCAGTCCAAAGCACTAGCACCGTGAGTAGGGCACTTGCCTTGCACACAGACAACCTGGGTTCAATTCCCAGCACCCAGGGCAGTCTCCTGACCCTGCCAGGAGTGATTCCTGAGCACAGAGCCAGGAATAAACCCTGAGCACTGCTGAATGTGGCCCAAAAATTAAAAACAAATAATAAATAATATCTCAGTGTTCCGTGTGTGTGTGTGTGAGAGAGAGAAAGAGAGAGAGAGAGAGAGAGAGAGAGAGAGAGAGAGAGGGTGCGAGGGGAGATAGTTTTACTGAAACTTCCTTAGATACAAGGGGAGAGAAAGAAAGGTAGTAACTGTTCACCACAGTGGAAAAAGCAAAGAGACATAGAGACAAACAAAATACAAGTTCTCTTTTTTTTGGCTGGCAGGCAGGGTGTGGGGCGGGGGGGGGGGGGGGGGGGGGAGGGGGGTTCACACCCTGCAATGCTTAGGGGTTACTCCTGGCTCTGTACTCAGGAATTACTCCTCAGGGTGCTCGGGAGGCTGTATGTGATGTCAGACACAGAGAACGGGTCAGCCGCGTGAAGGCAAATGCCCTACCTGCTATACTATGGGCCTAGCCCAAGGTCCATGTTTTCAAGGGAGAACACAGGCTTCAAGAGCAAGTCTGATCCCGGTATCTTAAAACGCTGTTTCCACTTTCTTCAAAAAAGAGGCCTAATGAATGTCCATTATTTGAGTATCTCATATAGGAAAGCATTCCAATAAAGTTTATTTTGTCATACTGTCCTCTGAGGAACTTCAGACACGAACAGAAAAATAAAATGCAGATAATTCACTCAGATATAAAACATACACTGACAAAATTAGCACAACATTTGACCTCAAAGTCTCTGGAAAATGAAACACAATTTTGCTTGTCAAGCAGAAGGAAAAATCTTGAATGCTACCCAGGAGAGAAACACTACTTCAACATTCAAAGCCGAGGCTGAGGGCCGGGTCCAGCCCTGCCAAGCCCCAGCAGCCACCCACACTCCAGTCGGCTGCCATACAACTGGGCCAGATTCTGCTCTTCACACCATCTCGGAAGACATGCGGGGCCGGGGAAACTCCCAGGTACAATTTTCGGTCTGAAAATCCTGGAGGCTTCTAGCAATGGGAACAGGAAGCTGCCCCCACCCCAGCCCCAAACTGCCACATGGCCCTGCAGCCACGCCCACACGCCACAGCACCTGCCAGGTAAAAGGCCAAGCTACACAGCTTCACAACCCATCCCAGAAGAGATACCAAGCCGAGTCAGTGAAACTGCCAGCTACTAAGCTGCCTTCAGGCTGAAAGCTCTGGGGCCTCCTTGGGTCCACAGACTGTAGGGAGGTCCCGGCACTCACAGTACCTCCAAGCCCAACAATGCTGACAGCCCGGCAGAAGCACAGCACATTAAAGTAGCATGTAAGTCGACTAAGACTCCGTCCCTTCCCCGGCTCCCTGCCTGCTTGGGGTCCTGGCTGTCACCCCACAAACTGCCTCCAGGTGTCATCTCAGCGCATCAACGGCCTTGATGCAGAGACTCCCAAATGAATCTCCAAACAGATCAGCTCCCTACAGAGATGTCTCTGGACCCCAACCATTCACAATCTTAGAATTCCAGAAGCACGCGGTGACTTTTGCGGCCACCTGACCTCTCGTGATATTCAAAATAAGCAACAGAAATAAAATTATCTAGCATCTGCCCTGGCAGGCAGGTTTGAATAGTGGTGGGAAAAACTGAAATAATGGTGGTGGGAATGGTGGTGGGATTGGTGTTGAAATACTGAAGGTAATCAGGGCTGGAGTGATAGCACAGCCAGAAAGGGCGTTTGCCTTGCACGTGGCCGACCCGGGTTCGATTCCCAGCATTCCATATGGTCCCCCGAGCACCGCCAGGAGTAATTCCTGAATGAAGAGCCAGGAGTAACCCCTGTGCATCGCCAGGTGTGACCCAAAAAGGAAAAAAAAAAATGAAGGTAACCAATATAAACAAGCTTATGAAAATAAAATTTAGAAAAATAAAATAAAGTAGCATATATAACACAGACATCTCAACTAGCAGCAAACAGCTCAGAAAATCCTCAAAAACTTTAATAACACCATTGTTTAGACATAACAATTTTCACAAATTTTCTTTTATTTGAACTATTTTCTTATAATTCCATTTATTATTTTATTGTCACAAGCAAAATAAACCACTTTGTGCTTGCCAAGGGAACAGGTTTGAGAGGTGAGTGGGAAACTGGGGACAATTGTAGAAGGAAGACTCACTGGTGGAGGGATTGGTGCTAGAGTTTTTAGATCAAACAGCCAATAGTCTCCTCTTTCTCCCTCCCCCTCTTACTCTCCCCCTCCTTCCCCCCTCCTCTCAGCCTCTGGATCTGACTCTGTCCCCCTCCACTCTTACACTCTTAGTTTATATGGCAATCACATAGGGTGGTGATACAAAGGTGGGTTGAACATTAACAGATCAATAAAGAGGGATAAATTCACTCCTCCAGGAAACTAACTCAAGTACAAAATCTCATCTAAAGAGATTACTCCGGATTACTAGATTTGCTCAAGGGCGGGATGATCCCACCCAGGGTGTGTCTCTTTCTTCCCTCAGCTAGTAATCCACTTAAATAGTTGTAGTAAATCTACTTTGAATATTTCTAGCAATGTCATTCTGTATAAATACAGTAAGAGATAGACCAAACTTAAAAGTTTGGCTCTTCCTGAGAACATCTCACTATATATTCCAGACTGCAGTCCTCAGGCCAGGTTAGTCTTCCTAGCCCTTCCTAATCTCGTCATTACTTTTGGATCATTACAGCATTTGTCCACGATCTTGCCCTCAACTTATAGTTGAGTACTGTGGTGCTTTGGCCTGGCCCATTTCGATGCCACGGTAGCTTGTCCTGGGTACATTAAGTCCCTCGTCGGGATCCTGCTTTTGGGGTGCTAGGAACTAAGGGCAACTGAGTAAAGAAAGCAGATGCCCAGGAGTAAATATTATTCGGAGTCAATCAAATCCAAAGTTACAAAAGCATAATATTAACTGTCTTCTTGTGTCCATACAGAAAGGACATCGCTTTAAGACTTAACTTGCAAGTTCAGTGTTCTTAGGAGGATCTGATCTTACAAGCTAATAGAATCTGATTAGGGAGAAAAGGTCATTAACTGGCTGGGGAGGAGAGCACAGATAAAAGTTTACAGATAAACACAGAGGAATGGGAGCACACTGTGATGGGTATAACCCGATAAAACTAAGCTCCCTGTGGCAAGGGAGAAAGGACAAACCAATGTTATCCTAAGATGACATATGATCTCACACCACAGAGACTGGCACATATCCAGAAGAACAAGGGCAGCCAGAGCTGGCGTGGATGTGGGAGACAGGGACTCTCCTTCCCTGTTGGTGGGAAGGCTAAGGTCCAATCTTTCTAGAGAACAATACGAACATTCCTCAAATAGTTAGAAATTGAGCATAAGACTTTTTATGAGGGGTCACCTGAAGGAAGTTCAGGCCCCGGAGGGTCACTCCCAGGCTGAGCAATGCAGGCCAGACTGCTCAGTGCTCAGGGTCACCACCGCTCCACATGGTCATGCTTTGCACAGGAGTGAGGCATGTAGCAGCAAGGATCCAACTCAAGGTCCCGCACAAGGTAGACATGTGTTCTACCAATTATTTGCGCTAAACCCAACTCCTTAATAAAATTCCTTTTGGGCGGCCAGAGAGACAGTGGGTAGGGCTTCCCTTGCAAGCCGCAAACCTGGGTTCAATCCCTGGCATCTCATGTGATCTCCCAAGTTCACCAGGACTGATCCCTGAGCACAGAGCCAGCAGTAAGGTACAAGCCTGGAGCACAGCTGGGTGTGACCCACATTTTTTTTTAATTTTTAAAAGGTAAAGGTAAAGGCCCTCCCGTTGATCGTCGATTTGCTCGAGCGGGCCCAGTAACATCTCCATTGGAGACTTTGTTGTTACTGTGTCTGGCATATCGAATACTCTCGGTAGCTTGCCGGGCTCTATTTTTAAGGAGCAGCATTCATGGCTTGGTGCTCAGAGGGGTCACAAGATTCAAACCCAGAGCACATATAGGCAGAAAACGTGGTACAGTACTTCTATCTCATCAATCTAATTGCTCGAGGCCCTCCCGTTGATCGTCGATTTGCTCGAGCGGGCCCAGTAACGTCTCCATTGGAGACTTTGTTGTTACTGTCTGGCATAGCGAATACTCTCAGTAGCTTGCCGGGCTCTCCGAGAGGGGCGGAGGAATCGAACTCGGGTCGGCCATGTTGGCCGCTTGTAAGGCAAACGCCCTACCCACTGTGCTATCGCTCCAGCCCATCAATCTAATAAAATACATATTTAAAAAAACTGACATAAAGGGCAGATTATGCAGCTCAGTGACAAAGCACATGGTTCTCATAGAAAAGGCCCTGGGTTTGATCTTTGGCAAAAAAAAAAAAAAAGTTTACTAGCTGAAGTGCCTGAGTGT